AAATATTAGAAGCAATTATTTTGGTTGGTGTTAATATTAATGATGGATTTAAAAAAGGATTTTTAAAATTAATTTTTTTAGTGGTAAAAAAGGGCAAAATAGAGGTAGAAAAAATTAAAAAAAAATATTAGAAAAAATAACAGAGGTAGGTAAGGAAGCACACAGTAAGTAGGTAAGGTTCGTTAGATCAAAACGAACCAATAAAGAAGACAATATTTAAATAATAATTTAGTTTTTAAAAAATAAATAATATTTAAAATGTAAAAGGTAGTGGTGATGTTCGAGAGTTAAAAAAAGCCGAGAGCGAGAGTCTCAAACATCACTAGTAAAAGAGATTGGAGAAGGGTAGGTACTAACTAGGGTAGTCCAAATTAAATTTCCGAAAATTTGAAATTTTGGAAGTTTTTCAAGTCGGGAATTCGAAATTACCAAAATCAGATGTCTATGCCGTTTAGCCCTAGTATGAGCCAAAGAACTAACGACTAACAACTAGAGATTGGATTGGGAGTGAGTCGAAGTCAATATCTCGGGAATACTAACAACGGTTAGAAACACCACACTCACCTACTAAATGTTCCCCTCTTTTAAGTCTCCATGGTGCAAAACCTTTTTTAGTGTTGGGAAATAAATTTTTTCTGCTGTTTTTGAATAAATTAAATAACCACCCTCACCTAAATATTTAATGAAAATAAATTCAAGGAAAAAATATTTAATGGCACTGTGAATTGCTTAACAATAAATATATGCACAGAGTATATTTATTGCCATGGCAGCAATTTATTAAAAAATAAAAATGAACAACCTCCCTCAACATTAAAATTTATTGAGGTACTACCTAGCATAGAAATTTATTCTAGAAAAAATTTAAAAGTGATTTTAGGTGGAATTTGGCAATAGTTGATTAATAAAATAATAAAATATGTAATGTAAAATCTATTAGAATAACCGGTCATTCTATTTTTCTATCATCCTCCAAAGGACTAGAGTTCAGCGGGTTCGGGATCCCGGTCGAAATCAGGCGGGATTATTTCGGGTTTTTAGAATTCCGATCCCGGTCGGAATCGGGCGGGATTATCCAGGCTTTTCGAATCCCGATTCCGATTTCGGTCAATCCCGATCCCGTGTCGGGATCAGGGATCGGTATCACAATTCCAAAATCCCGATTCCGGTTTTTCCTCTACCCGATACCGATGAACTCTACAAAGGGCCATCTATTGAGGGAGCCCCATTCACCTAGAGTGGCCATTCTAATAGAGATTTTATTATAGAAAGCAAATCAGGATTTAGTTAGATATTAAAGATTTGTGGGATAAATAACGAATTAAAAAGTGTCGGAGTGCTAGCGCGGGATACATAAAAATCCTGTATGCGAGCCTGTAAATAGTCCAATAAGCTTAGAAATCTGTAAAGATGTTTGATGTGTGTCTATACCATAGAGAGTAAAGGTCTGGGAATGACATGAAAGTCTACTGGGATTTTTTGTTTTGGACCCATACAATAAATATCAAATCAAATTTTATACGCACCAGCGCGACGATTTCAGATAAATGTGATAAAATTAAATAATTGAAAACAATAATTTCTGTAGCATAATTTAAAAAATGTCAAAATGTCTTAAGGTGATTTGGAAGGGAGTCAATAACTTTTTTGTGTAAGAAAGAAAAGTTCTTAATGGAAAAAGAGTGATGTATTTTCTGAAATACGTCTCAAAATTCGGTAGGATCTCAACAAGTTTCAAAACACGTTAGATCGCTAAAACACATCCCTCAGGACCGAAAACCCGAACCAGACAGAGGACATTAGAGACGTCTGAGACCGAAAGTTTTCCAAGGCAATGACTAGACCCCAAGACCAAGACCGAAAAACCCCAAGAAAAGTCTTGGAATCAAGACTCAAGACCAAGAGTCTCGGACGTCTCTAGAGGACATATCGAAAAGAGAGAAAATTTTTTTATGAATATTTAACAAGTTTTTATGATATTATATTGTAATTTAGTCATTTTTAGATTACTTGAATATTTTAAAATTTTTTAATTGGTTCAATTACATTTCCTTTAATCAATTACATTTCTCCTTTAAATTTTTATTTGCACTTTTCTTTATATCACGTTTCTTTTTAAAGTAGCATGGATTACATATATACTGTCCAATTTCCGTGTGACGGTACCAAGCTGATGTTTTTGTAGCTTTGCAAATAGCACAATGTCGTTCCTCCTTAAATAGAATTCAATAGGCAGTAAGTATTACACCCCGGAATTCTGTATCATACGGTATCCCGTACTAATGATGTTCGGGTATCTCCACTCCCGAATCGGGAAATTTTCCCCGCCACCCGATCCCGACTCCCGAGGTTATTTCCCGACCGACTCCCATTTCCCGAGAAGTTTCTTCAACCAAACATGACTATCCCGTACTGTACGGTATTTATTAGAGCCCAGAACGTGCATAATACTTTATAGAATGCCGATAAATATCGAGAAAGCTGTTTGCTGCAGAGTACAGTCCGGGCTCTAGTATCACTTATCTGTTAAGGATTAAACCGTTTTAGTATTATTCCACGTCTGTTGTGGTTTAAGCCTTCCATTATGTTGTTTATAGTCGAAACACATTCTGCATAAATAATGTTCCTTTTTTAGATATCTAAGCCATTTTGAGGTTTGTTTAGCTCCACAATTGAAACAATGTCGTTTATTTCCTTCATTAATTTCACCTATAATATTTAAAAGTAAAACATCTTTAAGAAGGTTCCCATCCAGGGCTGTCCGTTGTTGCGGATTGCGTAAAATTAAAATTGCGGGTTGCAATTTTTCAATTCCAGACAGACCTGTTCCCATCAGTGGTGGACGCAAATTAAGAAAATTTTCTGCAGCCTTTTAACCTTTCAAATCCGCAATCCGCAAGTCAAAAAACCGCGGAATTTACGCAATTCACAGTTGCGTCCAGACCTGGTTCCCATATCCAAAAATAAATAAAGAATTCACTTATTTTATTGCCCATATAAATAATTCCGCTTTTTTCCTTCGTATATTCAACCTTTAATTTTTCTAATATTTCAATTTTATATGCGATTAAGTTGATTTCCGTCCAATAACTTGATATTAGTTTATCCTTAAAATTTTCTGTATATTCTTTTAATAAATTATTTTTTTCCTCAATTGATTTCAAATGATTGTTATTTTTTAAATTTTCATCTAATATAGATGTTTCATAATAATTATTTTCATTTTTAATAAAATCATTATCTCGGAGTGCCTTAAATTTATAAACAAATTAGTGTAAGGATTAGGGGTTGTTATGTCCTAAGGATGTTCGAGGGTTGGCTGAGGTTTTGACAGTGTCGATGTGCACAGGAATAACAATCTATCCGAAGTGAAATGACAATGAATCGAGGGTGGATGTGGCTAGAACAGACGAAGGAGATCATTAACTAGCCGGGCTAGTACGATCCAATTAGACTGACTCTGTCTTTCATACTATAGTGACACCAATACACAACTTGGGTTGGAACCCGGACCGTCGGAGTCGAAAAGTATGGGGTTGGGGTTTGTCGAGATTGCGAATGTTGGGTGTTGGATCGGGTTCGACAAAATCGTTCTAGCTCCAATCCGAGTATAAATTAATCCGGTTTTTACAATAATCAAAATATAAAATGCCCGTTTTTGAAATTCAGGCAAAATTTTTTGAATGACTTCATTATTGGCAATTTCAATCACGATTTTTCTTTTTAATAAAAAATCTGGGGCATACCTACAAGTATTTACTTTTACTTTAAAAATATTTTTTTGAATGTTTAATTCAACTGGACGCAAAAATTTCTCTATATTTTTATTAACAGCGTCGTGACGATTATTCCCTTTTTCAATTGTTTTCACTTCAAAACATTCCTTTAGCCCAACATTTTTTAAATAAATAAATTCTCTTTTTTCCTTCCAATCATCTTTAATTTTCAGTTGCAAATCAACTACTTTTCCGGTGCTTTGAATATTTAATAGAATAGTTAAATACAAAAGAATAATAAATTTAATCATCTAAAATTTATTATAAAGATGATTCAGTTGTTAGTAGGGTTTCGCCGGAAGTTCCGGTCCCGGCCCGGAACTTAGAAAAGTTCCGGTTCCGGGAACCGGAACTCAAATTGGATCCGGTTCCGGTGAAACCCTATTTGTTAGGCGGCGGTTAAACGAACACAAGGAGGCTAGAGGTAGCTCTGTTGTAGATCACCTGCATTTGTGTGAGCGAGGCTGAGAGAGCATGTCTGCCCGGTGGCTAAATTTTGCTTACATAAAAACTTCCAGCAATGTTTCAAGACCCAGTGGCTGTAGGCTACAACCAAGGCTACATACCCAGGACTCGAGACCAAGGCTCCCGAAATCAGTAGAGTATACTGTCCGTACATTGGAATATCCTTTTCCAATTCTCTTCTTTCCACAACTTTGTTTTGTCTAGATTGGTAAGCCTAGGATCAAAAACTCCTATAATATGTAAAGGTCTTAGATCGGTGTGTTTTCAAAATCACTTTTGTGATTCTGTAAATCTTTGATGTAACTTTCGAATTTTTAACAAACATAAAATTATTTTTTAAAAATTTTCTTTAAATTTAAACTAAAAATAAATAATTTATCATTTTTGGATATTAAAAAAATTTTAAAGGGCATAGAGAAGCGCACATGATCAGGGTATTAAATGTTATCGACAAATCAACCCGTGGCAATTGAATAAAAGTGCAAATTTTTACTTTTTAATATCGGCAAGCATAAAAATAGATATAAAAATACATAATTTTGAAATTTTTTTTCATTTGGTATTAGACGGTATTTTGGGGATTTCGACAAAACTGGCCAAAGTTGTGAATTTTATAAAAATTAGAAAAGACTCAAAACTGTTTGGGAGTAGATGTTCAGCTCGCAATATATATGCCCCAAAGGGTATTTTTGTGATTATATCCTTTGTCCCAGGTTATCAAATGGTACCCTGAGGGAAACTAGGAAAGGAACAGAGGAATATAATGAAGAGAAATGCTTTTATCCGAAGCTTTGGTTCGTATTTATTTGGAAGTACAGTATTTACAAACTAAAGATCGGACTTGGGGTGCAGTACAAGAATCGAGATCTCGAAAAATTCTCGACCTCGATAATTGCGATTTTCGAACAAGATCTCGTCAGGTCCGGTCTCTATTAAAAACCAACCCTCATACTTACGAAATTTATTTATCAAGGGAGGAATATTCACAAGAGAGGTACCCTGTTTTATATTTTATTTTTAAATCCCGTTTTCATCATAATCGACAATTTCTTGTTCCCAAATAAAATCGACAACTACAGCAGCATGGTCTGATGGCCATTCTTTAGGACCTAAATTTTTGTTTGTTGGGTATGTGAATGCTTCCAATGGAATTAATTGTGATCCTTGATAGAAAATGTAGTCGATACGGTCTGCTGGTTCACTTGAATCTGCTCTGGCTTTGTCATAATTGAATGGCCAAGTTGTGCCTGTTTTGGGTGAAAAAAATAATTTTTTATCATTATTGGATGGGAAATTGTCTTATTTTTTTGTTGTCTTATTTTCTGACTTTATCCGTCAGAATTATTTTTCTATCATATATAAAGATACTGCTAGTCATAATTGTTTATGATTTTTTCTGATTTTTAAATTTGTTCTGATTTTATTTTGACATTATTCTGAAATTGTTCTGGTTTATTGTTTTCTGTGAGTGTTCTGATTTAATTCTGATATTATCCTAAAAGTGTTCTGATTTTCTGAAATTATTCTGAAATTGTTCTGATTCTCTGAAATTGTTCTGACTTTCAGAAATTATTCTGAATTCTATTCTGATTTTATTCTAAATGTGCTCTGACTTTCTGAAATGTTCTGATTTTATTCTGAAATTGTTCTGAAATTGTTCTGACTTTCAAAAATTATTCTGAATTCTATTCTGATTTTATTCTGAACTTATTCTGATTTTCTGAAATCATTCTGAATTTTCTTCTGATCCTTTCCTTTCATTTTCCTTAATTTTTCTGGTCCCTTTTGATTTTATTTCTCCTTAATATTCAAAAAATACACTACCCGGTTCTTCTATAGGATTGTAAAGAGCTCGAAGTGTATCTATAAACCCAACTTCTGTCAGAATTTTTGTCGTTGGCCATTCAATAACTCTTCCATAATGACTTTGTCTTAAATAAATTTCCTGATTGAAAAAATTTTTTTTAATTCTCACTTTGTTTCTTCAATCCAATCCTGATGCGATGGTGTATTAAAATCACCAACTAACAATAATGGCACAGATAATTCTTGACTTTTGTTAAGCCAATCTTTGAATTGTTTGTTGTTAAGAAAAAGTTGTGCAATATCATCAATACGGTCTAAAAAATAATTCTGATTTTCAAAAATTCTGATTTTTTTAAATTCTGATTTTTTAAATTCTGATTCATACGATTTATCAAAAAAATCCTTTATTCTGAAATTGTTCTGATTTTTCTGATTTTTTGAAATAGTTCTGATTTTTCTGATTTTCTGAAATTGTTCTAATTTTTCTGATTTTCTAAATGTGTTCTTATTTTTTTGAAATTTTTCTGCTCTATTATGATTATTTTTCTGATTATTTTTTACAAATTCTGATTTTTAAAACCCTTCATTCTTTACCTTTTTCACTTTCATAAATTTCGGCTTCTGTTTTGCTCCTATTATCTCTTATTATTTCTGGTCCATAATTTTCCCAGAACAAATGTAGCGAAAATAAATTAATTGGCCATCCATTCAGTTCGAATGATGCGCCGTTGCCAGCCGTATTACAGCCATCATCAGAAATTTCGGTAAGCTTTAATGTTGAATAAATAAAAATAATTCTGATTTTTAGAATCTGTGTTTTGATTTTATAAATTCTGATTTTCAAAAATTCTGATTTTTATGAATTTTGATTTTCACAAATTCTGATTTTTGACATTCTGTTTTCACAAATTCTGATGTTATAAATTCTGATTTTCATAAATTCTGATTTTCATAAATTCTGGTTTTTAAAATTCTTTATTTTATAAATTCTGATTATCTACAAATTCTGATTTATTATTTTTTAATCACCCACATGCAGTCTGCTCAATATAGCGGTGTCTGCATATATACACGATCTTTTTATACTAATCCATTTCTTTTTCGGGTCGGAAATATTTTGTAAATTATTTAAATGTTTGGCTATTATTTTTTCATCATCAATTAGTAGTACTTCCTTTTAAAAACAAATTTGTGGATTTATATTTTTAATTGAAAATTTTTTTGAAGTTTCTACAAAAAAAATATTAAAAGGTCCGACGGATAACGGTTGGCTGGGTTCTGCACTAGCAACATAACCCTATTCTTATTATCGCTACGGTCAACATGTCCGTCCAGTTGCTTCCGCAGCGGTATAAACATCCATGAGGACCCTAGGTAAGGAGCCTAAACAAACGACCATAACTTTGTTTAATCAACTCAGATTTTGTTAATTTTGGTGTCATTCGACTCAGCTCTAGAAGCTCTTTCAAATGAGCTATTATTTCCATATTCTAACTTTCCACCCCAAAATTGAGGGTGAAAACTCTCCCTATGCTTTTTCGATTTTCAGGGATCCATATCTCGGTCCGCAGGCGTTTTCGCACACTGGGAGTGGTACCAGTCGACTCAGCTCGCCGAGACGCGAATCGAATGGTGTGCATTTCGAAGGGCTTTCGAACCGGCCACCTACTATCTTAAAATTTAATTTTGGACTAATTTTACCTGTAATGCAATAATATCAGCATTTAAATTTGCAAGGTGTTGAGCAAATTTAAATAGCCCTTCTTCCCTTCCACCTCCATGTATTCCTCCATTCCATATATTTAAAGTAACAATTCTAAATTTTATATCCTCACCGTAACATATTCCAAAAATTAAAATTTTTAATAAAAATATTAAATTTTGGAATTTAATAAAGTTGTTATCTTTCATTTTGTTTTTTCTGAAGTTGGCTCGTAGTTGTTTTTCCTGTTGTTGTTATAGTTCCCTAATAATTAAGCTTTGGAAAAAATAATTTTTTTTTCAAAAAAAATTTTTTTTGATCAGGAATATGTTTAGACGTACTTTCCTTAAAATATCAACACTTAAATTTTCAGGGATCCGATTTTCAGGGAAGAAAAAAAAATATTTTTTTGATCAGGAATATTAGACGTGATTTCCTTAAAATTAAGTCGGAAAAATTTTTTTATCAAGAACAGTGCTGAGTGGGTATGGTTCCGGCTCCTGAGCCGGAGAGGAATTTGAAATGCCCTGGAGCCGGAGCCAACAAATGCCCTAAACCCAGCACTGATCAGGAAAATTTTTGGTAGATGACAATTTTTGAGGTGAAAACTTAAACGTGTTCCGATGTATAATGCTTTTATTAAAATAAAATTTTTTTTTTAATAAAATAAAATTTAGGGAATTGTTTAAAGGGTGTTAAAGAATAAGGATTGTTTAAAGAATGACAAAAATTAATAAAAAAAATTTTTTTTGAGGAAAACTTTCTCTCTTTTATTTTCCTTTATTTAATAAAGGCTTTTACTCATCTAAAGCCTATATAATTTATTCAATAAAAAATTACAACAATTAAATAAAGAAGAATATTAATATTTTTTACAAAAGAATATTCAAATAAATGCTTTAAATAAAATATTAATGACGTTAATAAATAAAAAAAAAATTTAAAAAAAATTAAAAAAATTAAAAAAAACTTTTTTTTTGCAAAAGTCATCCCTTTTTTAATTTTTTAAAAATTATTAACCAATCAACACTTTCTTTCTCTAGTTTTTTTTGGGGGGGGGGGGGTATAAACCTTACCTTTCTTTTATTTTTTATCTCCATTTTTGGAAAGGCTTTTTTAGAGTTTTTAGCAAATAATAAAATTTTCTTTTTTGAATAAAAAAGATTTTTATTTGGTTAATACTCTTTGATTTTTAATTTTAAAAATTTTTCCCATAATTTTGGGTTTCTAAATATAAATTTTGCCTTTTTATTTATTCAGCTGTTAATTATAATTTAATTAAATTTTTAATTTTTTTTTTTTTAATTTTTTTTATTTTAAATTATCAATCAAGGATCGCGCCGAACCGATTTACAAAAATTGAGACTTTGGTTTTCTGTCGGCGCGGTTCCTGTTATTAACATAAGTATCTTCTGATTTTTAAAGAAATTTTGAGTTGACGTTCTCCTTTTGTTTTGAATTTTTAGGGAAAAAATTATATTTATTTTAATTGAGGTGGGTGTTGTCAACTGCTCATTTTTCCCGATTCCTTCTGATGCTTGTTCTGATTTTTTGTCTTACAATTTTGTTTAATTTCTGTTTTTATTTCTGTTCTGATTTTCTTTTCTTTCTTATCCTCCTTTTTTCTCCTTATTTTGCTTTCAAATCAAAATTAAATTTTAAGGTAAAAATTATTTAATAGAGTAACCAACAGCAACTAATAAGAGCTCTCAATTATTATTTGTTATTAAAAAAATTATTTTCAGTTTTTTTAATTTGTCTATTAAAAAGAGCAATATTTTTTTCCTTTTTAAAGGGAGAGATGATTCCCTCATTATTATTTTTTCTTTTTATTATGAAAAAGAAAATTTTTTGTGCTAATTTGTGGTAAGAGAGAGGGGAATTCGCTCTTTTATTTTTTTTAAATTTTTTAATTTATTTTGGGAAAAAATTTTTTGTAAAATTTAAACAAAAGCAGCTTAATTAGAAAATTTATTAGAAATTTGCTTATGGCACTGAAGGAAAGAAAGCATATACCGCAAGGTAGACTCGCTCCTATTCGGAAACATTCCAAAGCTTTTGAAGAAGAAAATATTCAAAAAGGACAAGGTGGAATTTTTTATTTAAGCCTCCATACTTTAGTTTCAAATTTAATTTAATTTCTAATTATTTTGACCACTATACATAATTAATAAAAATTATTTTTAAACCAGAAGTATCAAATCAAGCTGATCAGATAATTGCGGAGGCTGCTATTTTAGAGCCAGGTCCAATAAAAAAAGATTTGTTCTTAAGTTTAAGAGAAATTTTTTCAGACAAATCAACAAATCAAACTTATGTTCGTCCAAAATTTAAAACAATAGCTAAAGTAATTTTTTAATTAAAAATCTGCAAAAAAATTTTGTCCGCAAAAAATTTGCGGATGAAAAATTTTTTGCGGACGAAAAATATTTGCGGATCTTTCCTCCGAAATTTTTCAAAAAAAATTTTTTATTTGAAAAGGGCCTAAGTTTAATGAGCCGTGTACGTGTTGCAGATGCAGCAATAAATAGAGAACAACAAGCATTTTTCAGTAAATACGGTATAAGTACAACAAGTTGTGGGGGTGATACACAAAATCAAGTGGAGGAAAAACAAGATAATAATGCAGCTAATAACAATAGAGGATTTCTGTGTTTGAAAAATGTTAATTTAAGTGAAGGTGAGAGGTTTTGCTGTTTGGCAACATTATAAGGCCCTCCTAGGGACTAAAAGATTATAGTTGAAGGGTATTTCTTGAGGTGATGGAGAGGGGTATTGCCTGGATAGCTCCTCCCCCATCCTATGTTCAGCCAAAATTTAACTTAAACTAGGGTTGGTTGAGGCCTCGCCGAGGCCGAGGTCCTCGGCCATTTTCAAACCTCGACCTCGATTTTGCTGACCTCGACCTCGGCTTTTCCAGCCTCGGTGATCCTCGGTCTCGGTTTTTTCAAAAAAAACCCTGACCAATTCTAACTTAAACCGAGAGGTGTATTAAATGTTGTGTGTATTTTATAATGAGCTGACTGTATTAGGATATAGGATATTTTCTGATTTGAAAGACGAAAAATAATTTTCAGTCTCCATATGGGAATATATTCGTCATCAACTTATTTTTGACCCATTTGCTAATTATTATTATAATTGGTTGGGAATTGTAACACTTGCTTATGTTTATAATTTAATGGTGGATTTTGAAAAATTTAGCAAAAAATTTTCCCTCCTCTAGTTAATTGTTTACAGAAGCGTTTTTATTGACAGCCAAGTTGTTGGGTATTTTTGGATTGGAATTTTTATTTTACTTGATATTGTAACTGATATTATTTATTTGTTGGATTGCTTTGTTCGTTCTAGAACTGGTAAGGATAGCGCAATGCGGGTTCGTCCCACTGTACAAAAAGTGCGGATTCGTCCCATTCGGTTTCGCCCCAACGCGGATTCGTCCCACAATACATAAAGCGCGGATTCGTTCCGCTCGGACTTGACCCGCTTGAACTTTGTAACTACGAATTTAATTTTAGGATATCTCGATCAAGGCATATTAGTTCGGGATGTTCAAAAAGTACTTAAACGGTACAAAAAGAATAGAATTGAGATGTGGATTGACTTGATTGCTTGCCTCCCATTGGACTATTTATTTGAATTAGGCCTTCAAACAACAAATCCATGTCTTCGATTTAATCGGTTAATTCGTCTACAGAGAGTTTTTAAATTTACCAATACTACAGAAATGTGGTAGGAAAATTTCGAAAAATTTTGAAATTTTTTAAAAATTTTGAAAATTTTTGACCAAAACGAGCCCGACCCAAATTAAACAAGAAATAATTTTTCCGTTTTTTAGTGTCTCAAAACCAAATTTATACCGTATATTCTGTGTTTGTTTGTATATTTTAATTTTAATTCATTGGAATGCCTGTTTCTACTATTTTATTTCTGGCGTGTTAGGAATTGACTCGAATAGATGGGTTTATGGAAAGGCTAATTTACAAGCATTGCCAGAGTGAATTTAAATTAACTGAAAAAATAATTTAATTAAAACAAAAAGAAATGCCACAAATTTAATTTTAGGATAAATCTGTGTAGTTTACCCCCCATAAGCCACGCCCCTTTTTTCTCTCTTAATTTCTTATGAGATCTGTTTTCTGGAATAAACAAAAAGATATTGGGCCAACTCTTTATAAAAAAAGGAGGAGGAAGAAAAAAAACCTATGGGGGGTAAACTGCACAAGTAATATTTTTGACTCTAAAGGTTTAAAAATTCCAATGCTTTATGAAGTTTCAATACTTTTCGAGCATCACGAACTCATAAAATTGATAAGGATTCAGAATTTAATTAAAACAAATTTTTATTAAAAATAAATGGTCATGTACTTGAAGCTTTTCAATGTAGTGCTTTCCAAGCTAGGAGAGATTTTCAACCTGGAAAAAAATTTAAAAATTTTAAACTTTGAAAAAATTATTTTTTCAAACTTTTCAGAGGTATAGAAGACAGTTTATCCCGTCGATACCTCTACAGTTATTATTGGTCAACGTTAATGCTTTCCAACGTTTGTGAAGTTCCTTGGCCTATCAGAAGTTCGGAATTTATTATTGTTTGTGTTGATTTAATGTTTGGGGTTTTAATTTTTGCTACAATTGTTGGAAATGTTGGGAGTATGATTGCTAGCTCTGAAGCAGCTAGAAGGGATTTTCAATCAAGAATTGATAATGTGAAACGTTTTCTTCGTCAAAGGAATGTTAACAAAAATGTGAGGAGAAAAAATTTTTATCAGTAAAAGGAGAGATTAAAAATTTTTTGGATGGGAAAATTTTTTTGTTAAACGCTAATCCTGTACCTGAACACGAAAAAAATTTAAAAACCCGGAAAAATTTAAAAAAAATTTTTTAATTGGAAAAAAATTTTAAAAATTGTTTTCTCCCTCTCCCCACTTTTCTTTTTATACGTATTGCTAAAAATTCCGGGTTATTTCCGGAAAAGTATTCTCTTCTCTGCCCTCTTCATGGATCTAGATTCAGTTCAGGAGTTCGCATATCAGCATCTAAAACGCTTATGCTGGGATTAAAGCTCATTGGTAGAGCAGCCAATAGGTGTAAGCGAGGCCAAGTCCCCAGCACTCTCAACGTTGTTGTTCGAACCCTGCCCGTTGGTTAAACTTTAGTTAAAACTCTTCTTATATTTTTTAGTTATTACATAGAATTAATAACTGGTTTGATTATATTTGGCAACAAAATAAACAAGCAATACTCGATGGGCAGGATGATTTAGTGTTAAGTGTATTACCAACAAAATTGCAAGCAGAAATTGCTATGCATGTACATTTTGAGACGTTGAGGAAAGTTAGGCTTTTTCAGGTGGAAAAATGACTGTTCCCTGCCCAATGATTTTTTTAAAATTTTCTATAGGACTGTGAAGCTGGTTTACTTGGTGAACTTGTTTTGAAGCTTAAATTACAAGTAGGGGGTTTTTGTGGGTGAAAGTAGGGTTGTACCCCTTGTCCCCGAAAGTCGGGGAATTTCCCCCCGCCCCCTCCCCCTTGTGGCGCTGCCTCCTCGAAAATTTTCCCCGTGGCCCCCCGTCGGGGAACAACCCTAGTTAAAAAAGTCAAAAAATTGTTTTTTCAAAGGTCTTCAGCCCGGGAGACTTTGTTTGTAGAAAGGGCGATGTTGGTAGAGAGATGGTAACTGGAAAAAATTTTTGAAAATTTCAAAAAAATTTGTTTAGTATATAGTAAAGAAAGGCCGTCTACAAGTTGTGTCAGACGATGGAATGAAGATTTTTCATACATTATTGGAAGGGGCTGTTTTTGGAGAACTTAGTCTTTTAAATATTCCTGGTAAACTTTAGATGAATTTTTGAGAAAAATCTCTCGTCTCAGGGATATTAAATTAGGATTTATTTGGTAAACGGAAAGAGCCGTCTAATAAGCAATATTTTCCATTTCAAATTCCATTCGTTTTTAAGCACGATTCTCAAGCACCTAAGGGTATTTAAAATGCCTAGACTGTATTTTCTCCCATAACTTTCCGGAATATTTTTTCCGGAAGAATAAAAAAAAAGTGTGTAAATATATGGGGGTGCATAATAGAGACATTTTTTAATTAGACATTTTTAATTACATTCTTTCTCTCTCAATTTAAGGCAGTAAACACGGAAATCGTCGTTCTGCCTCAATTCGTTCAGTTGGCTATACAGATTTATTTGTTTTGAAGAAAGCAGATTTATGGGAAGCTTTAAGGGAATATCCTGAAGCGAAAAGAATGTTGGTACATAAAGGACGGGAAATACTTTTAAAGGACGGGTTGTTAAATGAAGATGCACCTTTGGAAGAAAAAAGTCCAGAGCAGTGGAACCAGGAACTTAGGGAACAAATTGACCGTCTTTTGGATAAGTATGTAACTCTAATAATAGCCCTATTTAACGAAAGAAAAAGTTCTCTATGACAGTTTTCTGGAAGTGACGTAGGAAGGGGAGGGGGAGTCTTTATCGAGAGAGATTTCATTCTATAATGTCATTTGAGCCAAATTTTATGATGTAAGAAATAAGGGACATGGGATGGATTAAAATTTCAATTCTGATATGGTCTGTGAGAAAAAATTTTTTATTTTGAGGTACTAAATAAAGTTTCTCTCATCTCAATTTCACATATCTTTGTAATTTTTTAGAGAAAACTACGCAGAAAAAATCAATTTAACACAGAAAAAAATTTTGTACTTAAAAAAATTTTTTTTAGATTGTCTCGATTAACAGCAGAATTTATTAGTAATGAAACTAAATTAGTGGGTAGAATAGAGTTTTTGGAGAATAAATTGAAACAATATGATTATCTTGATGAGTATAGTAGTGGTGATGAATTTAGCCTTTGAGGCAAGAATTTTTTAAATTAAAATTTGAAATTTGAGTTGACTGAAACGGTTATATGTGTAGATTGTAGAAGTTAAAAAAAATATTTGCCTTAGAAAAATAATTTTTAAAGACTTTGCCAAAATATTTTTTTAACTTTTAGACCAATTTTTTGATTGAAAATTGGTTTAAAAATAAATTTAAAAACGGTTGAAAATTCCAAAAATCTTTAAAAGATTGTTAAAAAAATTTTCCAATTTTCAACAAATTAAAGAAAAATTTTTTTAATTTAAAAAATTTTTTTTCGTTAAATTTTTTACCTTTTTTACAAAAAAAATATTTTTAAACAATTTCAATTTATATTTAAATATAAAAAAGTAAAATTTAAAGGTGTCAAGTGTATATGTTCTTTGTACGAAATTTTATTTCAAGTGCCTTCTCTTTATTTTTACCTTGTTAATAAAAAGCGTGAATATTTAAATCAGCTTTAAAATAATTGAAAATAAGCAGCGCAATAAATTCACATGACAAGAAAATTTATTTTTAAAAATTGTTCAAACTTTTATTGGAGCAAATTATGTAAGTTTTTTTATGAAATTTCAAAAAATTTCCAGAAAAAAAGATTTCAAAAAATTTTCAAAAAAATTTTTTTTTGAAAAATTTCATAGAATATTAAACTAAAAAATTAGGTATTTTAAAGATTCTTTTTATTTCTTAGGCAAATATTATCACCAGAATCCCCTCCTTTTTCAACTGAATCTTCTTTGCCCAATTCTCCTCAATTTCACAATAATATTCATAATAAATTTAATCGACGTTCTTCTCTGTATGTTTTTAATTAGAAAAACAAAATAATATGTACAAATAAACTCACCCGAAAATTTCTGTTCTGATCCAAGCTAATGGCAATAATTCCCCGAACGCCTTTGCGAAATCTCTAAACGAATATTGGATCCGGATACCCTAGGATTTTTCATGATCCACCAACCCTAGTTGGGCTTTTATTATGGCCTCGTTTAAATTCGGATGCAAGCGAGGGAGATTTCGATATTTTATTTTTTTACTTTTTAGACAGTCAAATGCTAGTAGTGGAAATAATAAAGCAAAATTGTTAAAGAATCGAGCTTCTGAATTGTGAGTGAAAAAAATTATTTTTTTTATTTTATTAAAATAATTTTTTCTCTCAGAATAATCCAAGTACCAGTAAGACAATTAAAAAGAATTGCTAGAACAGAGGGTATTGGTTCTTTACAACGGGAAACTCAACATTTTGTTGGTAAAAATAGAAAAATATTTTTCTTGGGATTTTTGAAAAATTTTGAAAAAATTCTGAAAAAAATTTTTTTGAAAAATTCTGAAAATTTTTTAACAATTGGAAAATTCTGAAAAAAAATTTTTGAAAAAATTTCGGAAAAATTTTTTTGAATTTTTTTTCGAAATTTTAATTTATTTTTCGGTGTAACATCAATAAACGGCCTTCTACGTATTTATCGTAGCCGTGGATTTATTCGTTTCTTTTGGGTTTTGGTAACAATTCTTTCTTTGGCTTTACTAATTTGGCAAATTGCGAAACTTTTGGTTGTTTATACTTCCAAACCCACTGTTTCTCAAGTTTCTTTTTTGCTTCCGGAAAATGGGTTACAATTCCCGGCAATTACAATATGTAGTCACAACCCTGTTCGCAAAGAATATGTTAAACGTAAATTCTGATTTTTTACAAATTCTGATTTTTGCAAATTCTGATTTTTATAAATTACAAATTCTGATTTTTATCAATTAAAAATTCTGTTTTTTTAATTCTGATTTTTTAAAATTCTGATTTTTTTAATTCTGATTTCCTAAAAATTCTGTTTTCTAAAATTCTGATTTTTTAAAATTCTGATTTTTTTAATTCTGATTTCCTAAAAATTCTGTTTTCTAAAATTCTGATTTTTTAAAATTCTGATTTTTTTAATTCTGATTTCCTAAAAATTCTGTTTTCTAAAATTCTGATTTTTTAAAATTCTGATTTTTACAAATTGCGAATTCTGATTTTTATATAATTCTGATTTTTTAAATTCAGATTTTTTAAAATTCTGATTTCTACAATTTACAAATTCTGACATTTCATAATTCTGATATTTTAAATCAAAATTCTTTAACAAAACATACCAGAATTATTCCTATAAAATGAGAATTTTTATATTTGAAAAATCAGAATTTACAATTTTTACAATTCAAAATTCTGGTATTTAATTAAAAGGTTTAAACGCTTCTGGACATTTTTCACAACGTTTACTTGATTATGCAATGCATTCTTTTATGGAACCACAATATTTGTTAACATATAAAGACCCGGAGAAATTAAAAATGATTGATCAAGTCTGAGTTATTTTAATTTTTGGACTTCTTTAAAATAAAAAATCAGAAAATTCTGATTTTTTAAAATCAAATTCTGGTTTTTTAAATCAGAACTGATTTTCTAAAGTCAGATTGGAATTTTTACTTAAAATAAAAAATCAGAAATTCTGGTTTTTTTAAACCTGAATTTCGGTTTCTAAAACCAGAATTCTGATTTTTACACCAGAATTTTTGTATTTTTTCATTCTAAAGGAGTGGAAACATTTTGTAAAAAATTCAAAAACAAATTTTACAATAAATTCATTCTTCTGGAATGCTTCAACAAGTTGTCGACAAATGCTTAAATATTGTTCTTTTGGTGGAAGGCAATTTGATTGTTGTCTTTATGCTAAAGGGATATTGACTGATATTGGTGAATTTTTTGAATCTTCTGATTTATATTCTGATTTTTAAATATTAGAATTTTTCTTTAGAAACCAAGATTCTGATTTTTCAGAATCAGAATTTCTGATCAGAATTTTTCTTTAGAGTTCAAAATTCTGATTTTCAAAAACCAGAATTCTGATTTTTGTTTAAATAATATTTTTTCCAAAGGCAAATGTTATCAATTAAATTTTGATGAAGCAGATCAGTCCTGGTTAAAACACCAAGTACAGGCTGGGATAAATAATGGGTACTATATATTTTAAAATTAAATTATAATTTTTCAAATAAGATTGCAAATCATAGCTGATGCCCATACAGAGGAACAAATCGTTTCTGCTGGTAATTTTTATTATTTTCAAAAATCAGAATTAATGTTTTCCTTATTAGAAATTTTTTGATATTTCAAAAATCAGAATTCAAAAATCAGAATTTTGTTTTCAAAAAATTTTCTGGTTTTAAAAAATCAGAATTCTGATTTTTCTAATTTTTTATTTAGCAATAAATTCTGGTCATGCTCTAGCAGAAATATTTGAAAACGGATTTCGTTATTATGTTCATGATCAAAATGCAATGCCCTATTTATCGACAGAGGGAATTAGTGTATCCCCTGGGACTAAAGTATATTCTGCTATAAGCCCAACAAATGTAATTATAATTTTTAAAAAAAATTATTTTTAAATTAAAGTATTTATTATTATCTCATAATGAATGGGGAAATTGTACAAATGAATGGCCTTTAAATTTAAATAAAATTGAAAATTCTGATGGTGGAAGTGGAAGTTTAATCACTCTTGATGAAAAGTTGAGAAGCAAAATTTTTTTATTGAATTAAAAAAAATCAGAATTCTGATTTTCTAAGATCAGAATTTTTTTCAGAAAAGTAAAATTCTGGTTTTTCATATATCAGAATTCTAAATCAGTAAATCAGAAAATCAGAATTCTGGTTTTCTAAAATCAGAATTCTAATTTTAAAAATCAGAATTTTTTCAGAAAATCAGAATTTCTGTTTTCTAAAATTAGAATTCTGCTTTTCTAAAATCAAAATTCTGATTCAGAAAATCAGAATTCTGGTTTTCTAAAATCAGAATTTTAATTTTAAAAATCAGAATTTTTTCAGAAAATCAGAATTTCTGTTTTCTAAAATTAGAATTCTGCTTTTCTAAAATCAAAATTCTGATTCAGAAAATCAGAATTCTTTAAGCAAACAAGAATTCTGTTTTTAAAATCAGAATTTCTGTTTCAAAAAATCAAAATTCTGATTTTCAAAACCAGAATTTTTTTCAAAAATCAGAATTTTTTAATTAAAATTTTAATTAATAGTTTACCCTACTCTTTATTAAAATGCAAAACAATTTGCTTAGCAAAATATTTTTATGAGCGTTGTGGTTGTAGTCCTTTTATTTACAATATTGAGGAATGTAAGGAAAATTAAATTTTATATTTATTTTGTAGCAAATTCTTTTCTCTATCAAATAATTTTTAATTTATTATCAGAGGTTAAGCCATTCAAAAGTTATAGGTGTTCGAACTGGACTGATCCTCATACTCGGCCCCTAAAAATATTTTTTTAATTTAAAGATTTTTCTGTTTGTACACCCTATGATACATATAAATGTATAAATGATGGAAGAAATATTACCACAAAAAATCAAACTGACGAAAATAATGAGGAGGAAGAGGATGATTATTCTCTTGTTGAAGGTGCTTTTGAGAGGGGATTTAACTTAAATAAATTTTTTTCAAAGAATTACCAACTTGTACTGAATGTAAAATGGAATGTCATCGTTCTGTTTATCATATATACAATTCTTATGCTCAAGGATTTTCTCAAAGCTTTTTGTCTTGGATACAAAAGAAGAAAATTGAATGGACGCCTAAACATGTTCAGTAAGTTTGTGAAGGGGAGAGGAGGTTGGCGATAACCTCTATAACTCTTGAACGAGTTGACACTTTGAAACAAACTTTGTGTCATTCGATAGAGAATTGAATGGGCTACTTGATAAATTTTAGATAAAATTTTTACTTAAAAATTTTAAAAAGTTATGGTCAAAAAACTAACATTTTTTAAATTAAAATCTACAGTAGTCGACAAAAAGATAGGGACAAACGCATGTAAAATGAAAATCACCTATTTTCTCAGCTAAAAATCGATTTCAGGAAAAACTTTTTGTTTGATTAAATACGCCATTTAATGCTCTATTTAATAAGTATAAGATCTGGCGGATTACTATTTTTTGATATACTGAAATAATTTAAATAAAAAAATACTGCAAATTTTAGCCCGACAAAAAGATAGGGACAAGTCTTGTAACTAAGTAGTCACCCAACCAATAAATTTAAAAAAATTCGTGCAAACATAATGATCGTTACTAAGATAAAATAAAAAGGAACTAGGCCCGTATTTCATTTCAATGTCGAGATCTCGATACCCCAAAAATCAACGTAAAACAGGGGTAAGCAACTTCAAAAAATATTTTCGACCCCTTATGGATTTTTTAAAATTTTTATTTTGAGCCTATTCGATAGCTCTTGAAATTTGCTATAAACTAACCAAATTTCATTTTTCAGAAAAAAATACTTCGTTAGTTGCAGAGGCGAATGTTACAAAAAGCAACAAACACCCCATAAATTCCCACAAAAATGGCGTTTTGAAGAATCGTCGTCCTTTATCTCGGGAGTGAAATTTTTTTAAAAAATGAAATTTGTCACGTTTATAGCACAATTAAAGATCTATCGAATAAGCCTAAAATGGAAATTTAAAACAATCAATAAGGGGTCCGAAAAAAATTTTGAAGTCGAAAAACCCTATTTTACGTTAATTTTTGGGGTATCTAGATCTCGACAACGAAATGAGATATGGACCTAGTTCTCTTTTATTTCTTCTTATTATCGATCAATATGCTTACAATAAATTTTGTAGATTTTTCGCTTCTATGAGAACTTAGTTACAAGACTTGTCCCTATCTTTTTGTCGCGCTTAAAATAGCATACCTTTAGTTTTTCAATAAGGGTTGAATTTTATAAAAACTTAAACAGGCAAATTTTCTACTCATTAAATATAGCATTAAATCTAGTATTTAATAAATCAAAAAATTTTTTCTAAAATCGATTTCTAACCGAGAAAATAGGTGATTTTCATTTTGCTTGCGTTTGTCCCTATCTTTTTGTCGACTACTGTAAGTTTTTGGTTTCTTTCTCTCTTATCTTTTTTTCTCAAAATTTTAATTTTATCCTTATTTTGTAGCAAATTTAATTCTCTATTCAATAATCAAATGAATATTTCAATAGCTTTATCCATTCTAGAGTTATACAGTTTAACGCCCCATAACTGCCTGCGCCCAACTGACATCAACAATCCGTCAAGTTTTACTTTAAAGAGTTCAATAAAACTAGAGATCGGAATTTTGAAAAAACCGGGTCCGGGTTCCGGGAAACGGGTTCTGAAGGTTGACCGGGAGGGACCCGGGCCGGGAAAACCGGGAATTCCCGTTCCCGGTTTCAACCCGGTCAAAAATGACCGGGTCCCGGACCGGGAAACCGGGAAATTCATAATTTGTTGAAATTGGGCTGTATTTTTCCACATGGGGCTGTATTTTTCAACTATCCATCTAATTTATTCTAAATAACGTCTATTAAAGTAAGTAAATGCTAGAGAGCGTGATTTTCTAAAAACCTTGATTTCGGTTGGGTACCTTGACCAAATTCTTGGCCTTAAGTCAAGGAAAACTCAAGGATTATTTTTGTCTGGATCCTGGCTTTGATTCTTGATTTTTTATTTGGACAGATATCAGCAGATTAAGTGGGATTAAGTGGGATATACTGGTATATATTATAGGGTTTGAAATGATATTACGGGATTAAGTGAATATGGAAGAGGATTTTGAGGATTCTAGTCGATTAAAGGATATCGGTGTAAAGGGAGTACGGGTGCTATTGTGCATTGGGGGATTGGAGGGACACCAGAGAATATTTGGGGATTAAGAGGGATACAAAAAATTAAACTCGTGTCCGTAGGCAAAGAAGCCAGATTTCTTACTTTTCTAGCGCCGCAGGCGAAAATTTTGCGAATTTTGAAGGCCAAGAGGCCAGATTTCTTACTTTTCTAGCGCCGCAGGCGAAAATTTTAAGAATTTTGAAAGCCAAGAGGCCAGATTTCTTACTTTTCTAGCGCCGCAGGCAAAAATTTTAAGAATTTTTCAGATTTAATACACTAAATATTTTTCCCGGTTTCCCGGTATAAAAATGGCCGGGACCGGGTCCGGGAAACGGGTTCTGAAGGTTGACCGGGAGGGACCCGGGCCGGGAAAACCGGGAATTCCCGTTCCCGGTTTCATCCCGGTTGCTTCAAAAAAACCGGGAAAAGGGACCCGAAAACCGGGAAACGGGTCCGGGTCCCGGACCCGTTCCGATCTCTAAATAAAACTTGAAAATGTTGAAGTCAGTTGGGCGCAGACTGTTTTTGGGCGTAATAAAAAATTTTTAAAGCTCAAACTTTGTTGCAATAAATATATTCTTTCGAGATATTTGTTATACAGAATATAAACAAATTCAGAGTGTTGGAATGACTGAAATTTTGAGTTTGTTTTTAATAAATTTTAAAAAAATATTTAAAAATGAAGGCGATATTGGTGGAAATATGGGGCTTTTTCTTGGAATGTCTTTAGTTTCTGTAATTGAACTAGCAACTTTTCTTTGGAAAATAACTTGGATTTTTATTTCAAAAAAGAGAAGAGAACATATGGTGAAAATTTAACTTTTTTTGCTTCTAGATTTTTGCTTCAGCTTTTATGCTTCTGCTTCAGTTTTCTATTTGCTTCACTTTCAGTTCTTTGTTTCAGTTTTCATTCTTTGCTTCACTTTTTTTTTATTTCTGCTTCTATTTTTTATTTTGCTTCGCTTTCATTTTTTGCTTCAACTTCTTGCTTCTATTTCAGTTTTCTATTTGCTTCACTTTCAGTTTTTTGTTTCACTTTTTTTATTTCTGCTTCTATTTATTTTGTTTCACTTTACTCTTCTGCTTCATCTTCACCTTATTTTTGCTTCTGTTTCATTTTCCCTCGCTTTACCTTGCTTCCATCTCATTCTTTGCTTCAGTTTCTTATGCTTCTTAAATCTTTTTAGCTTCATTTTTTTATTATATACTTTTTCTTCTTTTTCAGATAGCAAAGAAATGCCGAGACGAGGAGCGTGAAAAACATTTACAAGCAACTATGGAATTTGCTTTACAGCAGCGTAGATTTGCTGCAAGTATAGGGCGATTGGCGGCTTCCCAACAACTGCGAGCCGAAAGTAAAGGTGCCGAAAAGTTTCTTAATTTTATGAAAATTAAACAGACATTTTGAATAATTTTCCATTTTTGACCCTTTTAAACCCTTAATTTTTTAAAATAAATTCCCCATTTCAGCCCCAATAGCAAAAATATCCTTTTCCAATCCCCTAAATTACTCATCCTCATCTTCCTTCGAATATCAACAAAAACAACGAAAACCTTCTGTATTTGACACCCTTTTTGGTTTATCAAAAAGAAAAATTTCATCATTTAGAAAAGCTTCAAAAAATAATAATAATTTTGTTGACTCTATAATTTCAAATCGAGTACATGGAACAACACCAAGTTCATCTTCTGAAGAAGAAGAAAATGCTGATAATGAAGCAAAATATTGTAAAAAAGAGAAGAAAAGTTTGGGAAAATTGGTAAGAATTAAATTTTAAAAAAACTTTTTAAATGAGGTGAATTTTTTAAAAAATTTGTTGCCCTTTCAAAATTTGTCCGTTCTTGAATTTTACGTTGACCTTTTTAATAATATTTTATAAGTATTTTAATTAATTTATCTTAAAAAGTCAGTGTGGTGTAGTTGGCACGTTTTTAGACCGACTTTGTGAGGGTCCATGGTTCGAGTCCCTTTGAAGTAAATTATTTTTTATTTTTATGTTTAAGTCTGTATTTATTAATATTTTGGATAATTTGACTTAAAAAAATTTTTTTAATTAAAAAAAAATTTTTTTTTTAATTTTTGAAGCAAAAAAACAAAAAGTTTCTCTTTTTCCTCCCCTTTGTGGTACTTATTCGTTATCATTTATGCTTCACAAAATAAAAAAATTTCTTTTATTTTTCAGGTTGAACTTAAAATTAATTTAAATAATTTGGATCAAAATGGAGACAAATTTAGACGGAAATCAACTTGTTTATTTGATAAACAACAAAATTCAAATTTATGGGAAAGAAGAAGAGCTACAAGTATATTCGAATTTTGTGATAATTCAACAAAAATAAATGAAATTCCAAAAATAATTAAGGAAGAAAATTTTTGAGAAAGAAAAAAAATTAAATTGAGGAGGAAAAGGAGAGAAAAAAAATTTTTTTAATTAATTTTGTCTTTTTACCATAACGTTTTTTACCTATTTATATTTATTCTAAAAGAAATAGCTCAGTCATTCTGTAGCAGAGGCGGGTTGGCACAAGATTTTTGAAAAGAAAGAGAAGAATCGGAAGAGCCGAAAATCGTAACTGGCTCTAAAGTCGGAAGGAAAAATCGTCGTAAATCGAAATTCCGACCCACCTCTGTTCTGTAGCAAGCGCTTCTTAGTTCCAGGTACGGCCCAAGTAGGCTCAAAGCCATAACTTGCTTCAAAATTTCCGAATCTTACCAACTTTGGTATTAAACGATTCCACTCATCGAGCTAAAGAGAATGGTACCGAAATTGTTAAGGTCCATAAATTTTTCAGGTAGTTATGGCTTTGCGCCTACTTGGCCGCGCGCCTACTTGGGCGTGTCCCCTTAGTTCCTTATCCTTTTTAATGTATTTTTGTTTGAAGTATTTTTCTTTTTATTTTTCTATGTGTTTTAATATTTTTATGAATTTTATTTTTCAAATATTAAGAATTATGAAAATTTTTTAAAAATCCAATATTTTTTATTTTTAAGCCCCTTGTGCTGGGCATTCTTTTGAGCGTTCCCCAGGGGCACATTTACATTCTGAATCCTTCATTCGTCGAGAGGTTATTTCACGTCCTGTTGCGTCTTTGCCAACAACACAGAGACAACCTTAAAAAAATTTTATTTTGGAAAATTTTCTGAAACATTTTTTTTGAAGCATGCTTCAGAAGCAAGTTTCATGTTTCAGAAAAATGCTTCTGAAGCAAGTTTCATGCTTCAGAAAAATGCTTCAGAAGCAAGTTTCATGCTTCAGAAAAATGCTTCTGAAGCAAGTTTCATGCTTCAGAAAAGTGCTTCAGAAGCAAGTTTCATGTTTCAGAAAAGTGCTTCAGAAGCAAGTTTCATGTTTCAGAAAAATGCTTCTGAAGCAAATTTTTTTTCGAATCTTTTTCCTTCCAACCTTTAGGTCTCGGATAACACCCTTCTCTCAATCCAGCAAATTTATTTTTCAATTCCTTAATTACTGCAGCATAATTTTGGCGAGCACGTTCTTCTACTGGATCTACTCTGTTATTGTTGTTGTTAGCTGCTTTTGTTTTTTCCCGTGTAGCTGTTGGGATATCAGCTTCTTTAGTTTTTTGTTCTGCTACTCGACGTCTTTTACGAGAGCCAGAAGTATTCTGAAAATATTAGAAATATGTTAATTAAATTGAGATTTTAAGGGAATGCTTCAGGAGCATGTTTGCTTCAGTTTCAAATAAATTTTTTGGAGGGTGAATTTGGCTAAGTGTCTATTTCTGTGTTTTTTGAAATTTTATGTAGCGTATATTTTTGGATTTTTTTTTGGTTTATGTGTGTCTGTGTGTTTTTTGATTAATAGCTTATTTAATTATTTTTAATAAATTTAATAAATTTATTAATTTGCCCTTACTTCGATTAAAATTAAAAAATAATTTTTTCCCCCAAAATTTCAATAGAACTATAATTTATATTTTCACCTCTTCTCTACATTCTGCTTCAGTTTCAAAAATTTTTTCTCGATCATATCCATTCTCATCTTTTTCAGTACATCGACAACCCACACCTTTAGGTCTCGGAAAACACCCTTCTTTTAAATTTCCAAATTTATTTTTAAATTCTCTATTTAAAACATTTTTATTAAAAATTGTTTCAACATCTTTTGGATGTGCTTCCTGGGCATTCTTTTAAATTAAAAAAATTTTTTGTGAAGAAAAATTAATTTTATTCTAGAATTAAATACCATATTTCTTTTAATACATAGTGCGACCGGTCGTTTTATTTTTCAACCATCCTCTAGAGGGTCAGTTTATTGGAAGGGTTTGGAAGGTCTAATAGAAAGAATTTTTTGGAAGGTCTAATAGAAAGAATTTTTTTGTAAGGTCTAATAGAAAGAATCGCACTATTAGAAGAAATAGGGTACATTAGTGTTCGGCAAATGGATTTTTTCGATGCCGGTTTCCGGGGATGCCGAAAAGTCCTGGAATTTTAATGAAGTCACTCATTTTCAGGCGTTTCAGGAATACCGAATCTGCCGAACACTAAAATACACAAACCTACCACTTGTGAAAATATAAAAATTGAATTAATAAGAAAAATAAAAAATAATGAGGAAATAATTAGTGTTGGTGTTGTTGATTTGCTAGCCATCTCTGGAAGGAGAATAAAAATTTTTAATTTTTTAAATTAAAAAATTTTTTCTCGAGTTTTATTTTAGAAATTAGTTATTTCTAAAGTTTTATTAGGGTTGTTCACTACCGGTTATCATCCGGTACCCCAAGTTTTCGGCTAACCCAAGTTTTAAAAACCCGGTTTTCGGTTTTGAATTTTAGACAAAATTAATAAAATTACTCATTTTCAGAAGTTTTCGGTTTTTTAATTTTGTATAAAAACGGTTAATTTCTGGCAAAAAAATGTCGAAATTTTCAGGTTTAAAACCGGTCGTGAACAACTCTAGTTTTCAAAGGAAAAATTATTTTTATTTATTTTCTTAATTTTTTAAATAAAATAAATTTTTAAAAATTAACCTTTGCATTAAATTAGCTAACCTTTAAATATATAAGAAAAAAAATTTTTTTTCTAACACCTGATACAAACAATTAAAATGTTCTTTTACTTTTAATTTACATCCTCTTTATGTGATCAATTTATTTTTATTTATTTATTTAATGCTTTTAGAAAAAAAAAATTTTTTTAATCAAAAGCCAACTGTTCCATTCCAATTAAATTTATTTTTTTCTTTTTTTATTTGTTTTCATTTTTAAAATAAATGTTTGACCCTTTGAATGAATCATTCCCTCAAGACGGAGTGATTCATGCGCTTATAGGACTGGAATTTGAATAAAAAATGAAGAAAAAAACGTAGGAAAATATTAAATAATTCTCAAAAAATCGTTGTAGTTCAGGGCCCGTATCATAAGAACGTGGTTCGTGGTTGTTTAACCCTTACTGGGCGGTAAAATTGGTATCATAAGAAGTGAGTTTGTGGTAAGCAAGAAGAAAAATACCAGACGCTCTTATGATACGAAAAAACCTCTCGGTAAGGGTTAAATGTCCTGGTTAAATGACCAACTTCTTATGATACCGTTTAACAACTTGCTCTTTGATACGGGCCCAGATGGAAAGTCTTGAAATACATTACCTCCTCAACTTAATGGGGTCGTAGGTTCGAACCCTTTCATGGAAAAATTAGTTTTTATTTTGATGGAAAATTTAATTTTTTGGTATTCACATATTCTGATTTTATTTTTCTATCAGATTTTATTAATATACATATGATTTCTTGTTCGTTTTTTCCACTTTGAGAATTGAAATAAAATATATTCGACATTTTGACATTAGGTCGAAAAATTTGACAGAATTTTGACATTAACAAGGTAAATGTCCGGTTGGTGTCCTACATGTCCGCAAAGAGGATGCACATTTTTCCTTCCTTTTCTTGCATTTTTTTCTGCAAGGAGTGGCGCCCATTTTTCCATTGTGTATGGTAGCCTTTTGGCATGTCGAAGGAAAGAGGGAAAATAATAAAAATTAATTACTAATAGAGTACTTAATTTAATACCAATAAAGTTATTATAACTAATAATGTTAGATTGATTTACAAACAGAATTAATTCACTTTAGGTTTAGATCAGTTAGGATATCAACACCAAACAGTAAATCATTAACAATTCTTTATGAATCCAGTCAACGGTGCAAATACACAGCAGATTGAAGCATTCTGGAACTGATTAAGATTTCGAATGGATTAAGATTCCCCCAGATATTTTAGAAATCTAGATATTTGAGAACGTTGTCCCAAATTTTTCATTTTTGATCATTTATAAAATAAAATACTTATTTGTACTCTATTAGTAATTAATTTTTATTATTTTCCCTCTTTCCTTCGACATGTCAAAAGGCTACCATACACAATGGCAAAATGGGCGCCACTCCTTGCAGAAAAA